AAAAAACGCCAAACGAGCAAGCAAACAAAAAAGAATATAGTACCATTGTGGGCACCAGTCATTTTGCATAATTAATACATTTATTAAGTTTTAACAAGAATCACTGAAACATGCCTAGGTGGCAGATGAGGAAACTAGGACAAAAGATGTCAGATGACTTGCCAAAGGAACATGGTGATGCTAAATGACAGCCCTGGGTAGGAAACCTAGGCACTCTGAGCCTATGCCCCACCTTCAAGTACTTTAATCCCATCATGCCTGTTATCTCATTAGGAACTCAGAAAGCTAAAGAAAATGGTACAGGGTTCTTAGCTCATAGGACTCTACGATGCAATGACAGCTACCACTGCTGGCTGCCATTATGAATCAGACCATCTATTGGGCCCTTACATAACTGATCTCTAATCCCTCAAATGTAACTTGAGAGACCTAGGTGTGATAGCGCATGTCTATAAATCCCAGCCCTGGAAAAGCTGAGGCAGGAAGATCATAAATTCAAGGCCAACCCGGGCCTTGAAAGCCTATCTCAAAATAAAGTAAATAAACAAAAAAATAAAATTTTAAAATAAAAACAATACTTTCATCTAAATTCTTCCTCCATGTTTCTCAAATCCCCATCAAAAAGGGGAAGATCATGGAATGACAGGTGTGATAGCACATGCCAGAATCCTAGCATTTGAGAGGCTAAGGCAAAGAACTGTAAGTTAAAGGACAGGCTGAGCTATATAGGAAGACCTTGTATTTAAAAGAAAAGAATGCTGCATATGGTAATGCGTGCCTTTAATCTCAGCACTTGGGAGACAAAGGCCAGCCTGGTCTACATAGTGACTTCTAGGCCAGCTGGGGCTATAGGGATACCCTCTCTCAAAAAAAAACAAGGGGCTGGAGAAATGGTTCAGTGGTTAAGAGCACTGACTGTTCTGGCAGAGAACCTGGGTTCAAGTCCCAACACCCACATGGTGGCTAACAACTGTCTGTAACTCCAGTTCCAGGGGATCTGACACCCTCTTCTGACCTTCTCAGGCACTGCAGGACACGGGTGCACTTACATTATGCAGGCAATACACGAATACACATAAAATAAAAATAATAAATTAAAAAAGAAATTTAAAAATAAAAAAACCCTAAGTGACACATCTACAATGGAACCTCTATATCTAGGACTCAAAACATAGTGGAAAAGAGAATACTAATATATCAGTCAATTTTCACCAGCGAAGCTTTCTCATGCAACAGAAATGAACACAGAAGGCCACAACTGACCAAACAGTAGAAAATAAGAGACTGCAGAGTGGTGTCCTGGATAGGACTCCTATATTAAACTTCACCCACCCAGGGCTCAGGGACCATCGCAGAAGAGAGCGCAGAAAGATTGTAAGAGCCAGGGGTGGTGCATGACCACAAGGAATAGTCCTCCAGGCCTCTGGAAACTTGTTAATATGAACTTACAGCAATGGTGACAGCATGCACAAGACCCACACAAATTCAATAAGACAAAAATCTAGCATAGAACTGGGGAAATAGACAAGAGGCTCCAACTTTAGCTGAGGAACAACTGGCAGCTGATCACTGGGTAATCAGCTGGGTGAGGGAATGTTGATCTTTAAGGGAGTGATACTAGATAGGTTGAACAGGCTCCAGTGGAGGAACTTACACCAAGGGACATCTGGGTACACAAACCTGACTCCATGGGCATTGACATATATGACAATGCATGAAATCCTGTGGGCAGGCTGCGGGAGGGTAAAAATATGGAGGGGGGCTAAATATGATTAAGGGGTATCATATGAGGGCCAGGCATGGTGGCATATGCCTTTAATCCCAGTACTTGAGAGACAGAGGCAGGTGGATCTCTGTGAGTTCAAGACCAGCCTGGTCTACATAGTGAGTTCCAGGCCAGCTGGGGCTATAGGGAGACCCTGTCTCAAAAAACGAAATAAAACAAAAGTATGAAATGCACAAAAATTCAATGAAAATATACATTGGGAAAAAATTAAATGCATTCATATTTAAAAATAAAAGAAAAAGTAAAAAGAAGGAAGGAAGTTCAGGAAGTTCATGGAATGGAGCACCGAGACATTACAAAGAAGTAAAGGAGCCTTCCTACCAGTATCCTCTCTATCAAAGTCCACATTGGACAGAACAGCAAAAGGGAACTAACATCAGAGGACAGGAAACACCTTCCAACTGCCAAGTAGCCAGATGACACTGGGATAAACCCCACCAAATTCTTTTCCAGTTTTCTGATCCAATTATAGGAATCCACGCAGAATGGAAATAAGACTGACCTGTGTAACCCTAACAATGTTAATAATAGTGAATATGAAAGGAAGTACATCAAACCAGTCTCTTGACTGCTATGTATCCATATTAGGTTGTGTCTTCCCAATATCCATGTAAAGGCGTTTTACAGAGAGGGAAACTAAGGCTGGGAGATTAGGTCACCCCATCAGAAGCAGTGGCCGTGAACACATGCAACCCGCCACAGTAGGTATCCAGCACCGACCTTGGGAGAAGTTATCTTGATGTAAACAATGATAGGGGCCAGCGAGGTCTTGGAGAGCTGGGCTGGGTGGTTGATGGTGTCAGCATCCAGAGCAACCAGCTGCAGGGTCCGGGCCAGCTCAAAGATTCTCTCAATCTCACTCTGCACCTCAGCTGGAGGCATGGAGTCAGGATCAAAGATTGAGTCAGAGGAGAGGATTAGAACACACCCCTTTGGGAAGTAGTGGATGAATTTCTGGAGATTGCCCACTACCTCCCACCCTACGCACTCTGACAGGCCAGGATGGGGGAAGTTACATGGGCAGCTCACCCAAGCTGGAGCGTGTGTTGGAGCGCTCAATGATGATGTGTTTGCTGGGGTTATTGAGGACTGAACGTTTGGCCAGGGAAATGTCTGCTGTCACTCGAGTGATAGAAATCCTGAGGGACCAGACAGGGAGGGAGTCAGGGGTCAGGGTAGGCTAGAACACACTGTCTACTCCCAGGCTGCCACCTGTGTCTCTCTGTCCAGAAATCCCAGAATGGTCCCTCCAAACATCTTGTTCATCCCCAAGTGGGAGGTGGGAGCCACAGGCAGGTGAGGAGCCAGATCCCAAGGGTCTTACCTGCCATCAAACCGATGCTTCAGGAAGTCAAATAAAGCTTTCTGCATCATGTCTGTTACCTGCCATTGGGGAATTTGTGGGGAAGGGAGAAGTGAGGCTCCAAAAACCCCTGGGAGATTGGTCTGCTGGGCATTTGGACCCTCCCATTCCACCTTTTAAATTTCTTGAGATGCTGGAGACCCTAAAGGGGTGGGGTCTTCCTCTGGACCTGGGGCCTCCAATGTAGTCTGATTCCCACTAGCCTCCTATGTGAAATCTCCAGGAAGGCTCATTAGAGGTTTCCTTGGGGGACTGGGCCCTTCTGAGTGGGCCTCCCATGGGTCAGGCCTCTCTGGAGGTTTTCTCTGAAGGTCTGTGGGCTTTGGGAACATGAGCCCTTCTGGGGATCTTTCTATGCACACTCTGGAGGTCCGGGCCCATCTGGGTACACTCCCCTCTAGGGCTCCTACCTCATAGCCCTTGAGCGACGGTCCCACCAGGATGATGGGCCTCATGGAAGGCACCACGTCATAGGGGGGCACATGCTCTGTCTGGGGAGGGAAGCAGGGAAGGGAAACCCCAAAGTGGAGATGGCATTAGCCCCTCTCCCCCAGTCTCCAGGCTCCCCATGCAGTCTTTCCTCCCCTTGATCCCAGAACCCAGATGTAGGTGCATGGGTGGGATGGGGAGGAATGGCTGGGAAGGACCAGGAAGGGTAGGGAAAGGGGGAAGATATGGGAACGGGTGTTAGAAGGTCCCACAGCTCATCCCAGGGTTTGGGGGAGGGGAGGACACAGAAAGCTGTGATACTCACCGATTTCTGCTTCTGTTTGGCTGGATCCAGAGATTGCCAGGAAGGGGGGGTGGGGGAGGGAAGGAGAGAGGGGAGGGCACCAGGCAAGGGTAGAGGGCCAGGAAGAAGCCAGGACAGGAAAGGGGGAAAGAGAGCGGGCAGACGAGGAAAAATAACAGGCATGCGTGTTAGTGACAGACAGAGCTAGAGAGAGGGGATGGACCCTGTGCCAAGGGGAAACCAAATGGCCCTGGAGACTGGAGGCAAGGACTGACAATCATCCAGTGGATTTGGGAATGGTGAGACAAGCCTACTGCCCTTCTGGATCTAGCTCTGGAAGGAGCTAAAGAAGATTCTGGAAGGAATCCCTTAATTCAGGGCCCACCTTCTACTCTGGCATATTTAGAGAGACCACCTGCTCTGCAGCCAGTAGAACCCCCTCATGCATCCACTCATGGAATTGGAAAGGAGCAAATGAATCCCATTTCACCCTTCACAAGTCAGAGGAGGGCACATAAGAATATTCTATCCCACTGAACATGAGGACAAAGATTAGGAGTCATTACCACTAGACCCTACTTCCTCAGGGTGGGGTAGGCTTCCAAGGGTAAGAGCTACCCCTTCCTGGAGAGTTGGGGTGTGGGGCATTGTGTAGAGAAGGATAAGCCCACCCCACCCCTGCATCCAGCTGGGCAGGAAGTCCTGAAGCTTGAAGTAAAAGTTGGACCACATCTGGACCACTCCAGCCCCTCTCCCTGCCAAAAGCTGGGTCCTAACCACTCCCCCTCCCCCTTACAGGAAAGCAGACAGAATTACCTTCTTAAAGAAGGGGATGCGCTTGCTGTGGGGTGGCGGAGTGGTCACACTGCTCACACTAGTCTTAGCAGAGCCACTCTGTTCCCCTAGCTCTGCTTCTTCATCCTCTAACTCTAGGGGGTCTAGCTCAAAGGCTAAGTTAGTCATTTCGTTACCTGGACCAGTCAGGAAGGAGGTGAGGGGAGAGGAGTGAGATGAGTGAGCATGGAGACACAGTGCAGAACACAAGGATGGGATGGGAAAAAAAGAAAGAAGAGGTGAATGGAACAGGGCTAGGAGAAATGAATGGGGGATGGGGGCAGGGAGGGCAGACAGAGAAATGGAGCTAACCCCAGAGAGGGGAGAGGAGAAACATTGACAGGCTCAGCTTATAGGATACCCTATCCTTCATGAAGGGGGTACCACTGCAGGTGTCTGGGGGACTCAGAATTGAAGTAGCTTCTACTGCAGGGAGGAGGGGCTGGACAGTGGAAAGACCATCCCACCCAGGAAAACCCTCCCTCCCCTGGGCTGCAGGCAGCTCTTACCACTGGCAGGGGGTGTGGGGCGGCGGGTACCAGTCACCACATCTCCCAGACTGGAAGTGGAGTTGTCACCTGACTTGCTGTGTGGGCAGGGGAGCAAAAGGAACTGGTGAGCAAAGGGGTGGACATGGGGCTGGGGGGGGTCTCAACTCCTGACACATGCTGCACCCTAGCAGTTCTCCAGCCTCCCCCCTCTCCCCCTCTCCCCTGCCCCAGTGAGGCCATGAGTAGCTCCATGCCTTGGGGGTCAGGGGTCTGCCCTGAGGACTCCTGGTTGGCAGTCTCTTCCCAGATGGCAATCCACCCCTCCCCAGGCCAGACACCTGGAGCTAAGTCGGTTCTGGCGCAGCGTCTGTTCGTGCAGCAGGCGCAGGCTGTCCAGTTTGACAGGGCTAGGGATGAAGCCAACCTCGCAGCCCTCTTTCACCAGCCGCCCAATCCACCAGTCATTATTGTATTTCTGTGAACAACAGCAGGAGAGGAGAGACCAGGAGGGAGACTGGAGGTGGGAGCCACTGCCAATCTCCAGGGGGGACCTCCAGGCTGTCAACCCTGCCAGTAAGTAGCTCCCTCAAAGACCCCCACCCCTGGTTTCAGCCTCTAAGGAGAGCCTCCCAATTCCCAAGATAACCCCAGAACCAGAACCCTCTGACCATGGACCACCATCTCCTAAAGAGGAGGGAAAACTCTCCTGCCTTCCTGAACTCCATGCTGCTGAAGACCAGGCATAATGCACATGCATCAAACAAACCAACACTCTTGACATAGGCCTCACGACAACACCCCGCCCCCGCATACCTTTGTGCCTTAGGGAGGCTCAGAGTGGTGAAGAGATTTGCCTAAGCTTGCACAGCAGACAAGCTCTTGCAAACTCTGCTTGGTTCAGAAGGCCTTTTCCCCACTAGACTTCCAAGCTCTTCTCTCCTGGCACCCCTACTGACACACCCCCAATTCCCCATCCTCACCCCAACCTCCCTCTAGGCGCCAAGCACTCAGCCCACCTCCTTGATGTGCAGGAAGTCCTTGGGCTCAAAGGTGATGGCCACTCCCTGCACAGGCACCTCATCCCCTGGAGACGGATTGTAGCCAACATTTGTCCGCACAGCAAAAGCCACTGGCTTAGTCTAGAGGAGACACAACAGGAGGATGAAAACAGAGGGTTGAAGCCCAGTGGAACATTGCCTGACCAGCCTGGTGACTGTGTGGATGTTTACTTTATAAATTATTCATTAAAATGTATATTGAGCCAGGAGTAGGGGTGTGGATGCCTTTAATCCCAGCACTCAGGAAGAAATGACAGTCATGCCATTCAGTGTGGCCAGGCACTCACATGCATTGCCTCATTTATTCATCACAAAACTCTATGAAGTTGAGAATTGTTATTATCTTCACTTTGTCTTATTTATTTATGGCTGGATGTGAGGGCTCATGGCTGTAATCAAGCACCCTGGAAGGTGAAGCAGGATTGCTGTAAGTTCAGGCTAGTCTGGGCTACACAGTGATTCCAGGCCAGCCTGGATGACAGAGATGCTACCAAAAATGAATAAAATAGTTTTTTAAATAAATAGCTATTTTTTAATGTTTGTTATTATTTTGTTTTTGCAGTACAAGGCTTTGTGCTAGGCAAGTGTAGTAGATCACTATGTAGTCAAGGTAGCCTGAAACTAATTCTGATCCTCCTGTTTCAACCTCCCAAGTGCTTGCTAACAGGCACGAGCCACCATGCCAGACTCTCATCTTCCAGTTTGAAGCAAAGTTTCTTAGGCAGGTTGCCCAGGCTGGCCTCAAATTCCTGGGCTCAAACCATCCTCTTGCCTCACCCTCCCAAATGATTTCATATCCACCCCTGTAACCAAGCTTCATCATCAAATACCAGATGATGACTTTAGGGTGTGACCAAAAAAGAACCTGGCATTTAGGGGCTGCAGAGTTGGCTCTGTAATTAAGAGCACTTGCTGCTTTTAGAAGACCCAAGTTCAGTTCCCAGTACCCTATCAGGCAACTCACAACCATCTGTAGCTCTAGCTCCAGGGGATCTGATGCTCTCCTCTGGCCTCTATGGGCACACACACACAAAGCACACATATACACAGATACACACACACACCCACAAATAAATAAATAAATATAAATTATTTTTAAAAAGAGCCTGGCATTTGACCACTTCAACATTGTTGATGCTCCCAAAGGCATCAAGCAAGATGTTTATGTGCACATTATGGTGTTATGGAAAAATGGCAAAAAGAGCTACCATGAGGGCTGGAAGATGGCTCAGTGGGTAAAGTGCTTACATCCTGAGGGTCAGGGATCAGCCCTGAGACCTCCTTCTGGCTGGCAGCCTCTCCTATAGTGGCAGTGCCCTGCCCCCAGACAAAGCACCCATGTAAAACCAGGAATGGCAAAGCACATTAGCCCCAGAACCAGGGTTAGGGGGTGCAAACAGATGGCTCACAGGAAGGCTCACTGGCCAGCCAGTCTAGCCGAAATGGCAAGTTCCAAGTTCAATGGAGAGCAACTGAGAAAGACACCGGACATTGACCTTTGATCTCCACACAAGCATACATTAGTGAGTGTGCCCCCTCACATAGTACACACACAAGCATGACCACAAACACATACAAATACACACACACACAGAGCTGCCATCAGTTAGGTGTGGTAGCTTGTATCTGTAATTCCACCTCTTGGAAGGTTGAGGCAGGAGGATTGTTGGGCACTCTGGGATATCCTGGGCTACAGAATGAGACCCTGATTCAAAAACAAAAGAAAAGAAGGCTAGCAAGATGGTTCATCAGGTAAAGGCACTTGCCACCAAGCCTGACAATATGAGTTGGATCCCAGGAACCAACATAGAAGGAGAAAACTGACTCCCACAAGTTGTCCTCTGACTTCCATATGTGTGCTATAGTAAGCACCCACCGCTTCTACCCAAATAAATAAGTGTAATATTAAAATGTAACTCCTGCCCCACCCCCAGCAAAAAAAAGGGGGGGCCTAAGGATATAGCTCAATGGTAGAGTACCTGCCCTGCAAGCACAAGGCCCTAGGTTCAGTGTTCAATCTCCAGTATGGGGTGGGGGTAGTGTTTGAAGCTGGGTACATTGTAGAGAATGAAACAGAAAGATCATGAGTTCAATCCAAGCCTGGCCTACATAGGGAGACCCTGTCTCAAAAACAAAACAAACAAAACAAAAACTATAACAACAAAAATCAGGACTAGAATTTCAACTGAGAAGTTTGATTCTAGAAAGTAGGTTTCTGTTTTCCTTGTGGTGCTGGGGTTTGAACCCAGGGCCTTGTTACCACAAGTACTCTACCACTGAGCTACATCCCCAGCCCAGAAGAAAGCAATTTCAGCACTTACCAAGCTGTGTGGAAACGGCAGTAGGTACTTTTCATGCGGTGTAAAGAGGAAGCTACTATTGTCCACACTTTACAGGGGAAGGACAAGGCACTATAAGGTCTAGAGCACACTTCTGTGAGCATCTGGTCCAAGATTTGACAATGGGTCTGTCCAGGTTCTCTCAGGCCTGAGTTGGGGGAAAAAAATCATGCCCCAAAGCCTGCCCCGCCCCCCACCCCCATCTGTCTCACCTTGGCTTTCTCAAGCTGAGCTAAGGCCTGGCGCTCTGCCTCTTTCCTTAAGGCTTCCCGGTCCTCCTCCAAAGACACGTCAGAGTCTGATGGGCGGCTGGTGTAGGACTCTGCTGAGCCCTGAAAGCAGAGAAGGCCAGCTCAAAGCCAGTACCATTTCCCCCAACTCCTGGGCCTGAAAGGCATGGAGGTGCCACCCATCGTAGCGATCTAAAGTCCATCCCAGTCCAGTACAATGCCACAAGGTCAAAGCAGAGGTAATATTAGGAGGAAGCCAAGGTTTGCAGGTCTGTGGGATGACTGTAGCCCTAGGAAGGGTGACAGCAGCAAGCTGGGGGTTAAGGCAGGTCCAAGGACAGCTGCTTGGGGCCTGGGAGGGGTGGCAACATGATAGGGGCATAGTCCAGGGGAGGAGTGCCAGGAGATGAGTCTGGCTCTCAGCTCCTCCTTCCCTGCCTTTTCCCCAGGATTGCTGAGAAGACACAGCAGAACCTCAGCACCTTCCCTTTCAGGAACCATAGTCACCCTGGGGCCTGAACCTGCACTGTTGCCAGTAGATAGCTTACTACAGTGGCAGGTCCACCAAAAATGCTGCTTGAGAATCAGGGGAGCTGGGCTCCTATCTCCCCTACCTCTCTAGTTGCAAGTTTCTGTATAGGGCCACCCCACTCAGAGCCAACCCCAGGCTCTCCTCCAGATTTTCAGGGTAGAGCAAGCAGAAGAGGCAAATAGGGGGCAAAACATGGGGCAGGACTTTTCCCCATACTAAACTGCCAAGGGTGTCAGGGTAAAGGCAGGTTCATAAGACTGGATGTCCCAGGAAGCTGGTTTGGACCACAGTGACCAACCCAGAGTACAAGGGACTCTGTTAGGGACATGCACATATATGTGAGACACATGGAACTTGTACAGATGCAGTGGCTTGGGTCATGAACATGTGGACTTGTGTGTATACTTGGAAATACAACAGCAAGTGTGCCTAAGAGGATGTTTTCCATAGTGCATGAAGGCTGTGAACAACTGAGTCACTCAGGGGCAGCCCAGGGATCTGTGTCTCTGAAGGTAAGAGGCATAGGTTGGCAGAGGACAGGAGGTTTGGATTTGTTGTGACTGCTGGGATGGTGGCAGACAAGTCTGGGAAGGAATGTGGGAAGGACACAAGATTGCAGGGATGTGAGGGATCTTTCCCCAAGGGCAGGAATGGGTGACTTGATTGGGATAGTCCATTGGCTTGGTATGGTGAAAGAAAACCAAGACCCATCTCTCTCCAGAAGCCCCTGATCATCAAGTGAAGCAGGTGATACCTCTTCCCCAGGCAAATCCTGATAATGAGAAGCTCACTGGGACAGGGGTGGGCTGGGGATTCCGGGCACTAATAGAAACTGGAAGAGAGACACAAAGCCAGGAGAGGGAAAAGCAACTGAGCCCACATCCCTCCCTCCCAACAGGAGCCCTTCACCAAGTGAGGGAGACAAATGCCTAGATAGGCAGAAAGACAGGCAAAGGCGGACAGGCAGAGAGCACTCACCGACCCAAACAGATGTGTGTGTGTGTGTGTGTGTGTGTGTGTGTGTGTGCGCGCGCGCGTGCGCGTGCGCGTGTCCACACGCACACACAGAAATGGCGGGAGACAGGAAAAAATGAGGTGAAGAGAGAAGATAGGCGGGAGTGAAGGACCCCCACAGCTATCAGAGGGGCTACTCCACCCACCCACCACCCACCCCATCCCCAGCTCACCACCACCAGGGTCCGGCTGGGCACCTCCATCCCGGCGCCCTCAGTGCCCGGCCCTGCTGGCCTAGGGGTGGCCCACACAGCCCGTTCCCCCAGGGGCTCAGATTACAAGCAGAGTTGCTACATGTGCAAACTGCTAGGGTATATTTAGCTCAAAGATGTGGCAAGGTCTGCCCCCCCACTCCTGCCACCTACTGGGGGAAGGAATTGGGGAGCTGAAGGGAGGAAGAATGGGAGGCTGTGGAGACTGACCCCTCGTCTGGCAATGGGAACGAAGGCCCTTTCTGCCATGAGGAGCAACAAAGCATAGCATCATTCTTTCTAGACCTGGCGCTGGCCCAGTTCTGCAAGAGGAGGGATGAGGGAATGATTCAAGAAAGGATTTGTGGTCTGTTTGTGTATTTTAGACACACTCAGATCAAGACCTCCCCTCAAGCTCCTGAGCCAGGCATGGGCTCACATGTGCAATGTCTAGAAAAGTCAGAATCAAAAGGAAGGTAGTCACTCCAATCGGTGGATCTGCCTGCTACTCTCCTCTTCTGGGCCCAGTGGGGCTCATCCCCAGGGGGATCCTCTACCTACGGTCCTCTGCCTCACATGCTTTGCCCATTTTCTCTTCCTTTCCTTGTCTGATCCCAAGCCCCTCTTGTCTTTTTTGGGTGCTAGGCTTTGTTGAGATGCTCAGTAGTCATAGCAACCACATGCCTCCTCAACTGCCTCTTCCCAGCCTAAGATGGCCTGGGGTTGAGAGAGGAGATGAAAGTGCCAGTTTCCTGGTTCAGCATGCCCCCCACCCCCATCCCAGAGCTACTGTCAGCATCCCCTTTAGCTAGGGATGTGGACTACAGTCCTCTAATGCCAAACACCACCTTCCCCCCATCAGATTCTCACTGTACATATTAAAAAGTCATATTTGGAAGTAGGGACAATGTGTCTCTGACCCATACCTAACCAGGGCTCCAAGGTCCAATATCTCAGCTTATTCCCAGCACCTGCCTCCGCCCCACCCCGTCACAGATTCTGGGGGAGGACATGAAAGCAGACAGCCGGCAGGGGGAGTGGGTGACAGCCCAAAGCAAGCCAGGAGGCAGGCCAGGCTGTCCCTGAATGAGATGACGCAGGCAGGCAGGCAGCAGGGGCTGGTGCCGGAGGAGGGGCTAGCGGGGGTGGGGGCTGAGGCAGTGGGTGCAGCTGATAGCAAATCCAGAAGAGGTCACCGGGAGTGAGGATGTTGGGGTGGTTCCAGGCAGGTGACAAATGATATGGGAATGGGTGCCTGGAGAAAGTCGCAGGCCAACTCATGAAAGCTAGCCTCCACCAACCAGCTGCCTCTCCCTCCCAGGCCAGCTTCCCTGTTACCTGGCGGACAAAGCTGTTGGATGTTGTATCCGAGGATGTACTCCCATCTGATCTTTTGAACCGCCCTTTCCTCTTGCTGTATTTGCCCTAGAGAGGAGAGGAAGAAACTAGAGTGAAATCAGTAAGACCCTTTCCCAACTCATATCCTATTAGAGCTGGTGCTGCAGCCTAGCCTGGAGACTGTTGCTCCTTCTCTGCTCTGCCCCACCCTCAACCCTTGCTTCTCCTTCCAAAGGTGGTACAGCCTGAAGGGAGAAAGGATCTCCCACCTCACTGACAGTGCCCAGACAGCAGCTACCATGAAGCGCAGCACAAGAGAGCCTGGGAGGCGCACACAGGGACCCCCAAACCAAGTCAGAGGCTGGGAAGCAGGAGGCCTGAGGAGCTAGAGGCTCATTAGGCAGCAAAGCTAATTAAGATGCTGGGCAGGCTGCAGCAGCCCTTGGGGGAAGGGAGAGGCTGCCTGCAGGGCTGGGGGCACTGAAGAAGAGAGCAGGGATGTTCCCCACCCCCTGCATCTGGAGCTGAGGGGGCTGACTGAATTGCCCCCAGAGAGATGGGGAAGGCAACCCAGGGCCCAGCTTTCTGTTTTCTAGAGTGGGGAGGGGAAGGCCCTCAGCTCTGGAAGGCCTAAAGCCACATTTTTCTGGGAGGGGAAAGAGGGAGGAGGCTCAGAGAGCCCTATCAGAAAAGTAAACATTCAGCCCCAACCTGTGGCCTGATGCCCTGGGGTTAGTTTTTGCTTTCCAGGCTCACTTCTACCCCAACAGGACTCAGCCCCCCTCCTCATAATAAGGGTCCATATCTCTCCCCAAGGTAAAATCTATTCTATTCCCACCCCAGCTGCTACTGCCCACACCCCATCTCCATGGCACCAATCCAGCTATATCAATCTAAAGACCCCTCAGCCACACCCCAAGCCAAGACTAGGACATGCCCTGCCAGTTCCTTGTAAGCTGGGTGGCCTCCCAACTGGACTCTGTCTGGGTTAGAGGATCCTTCTTGATGCCTCAGATGCCAAAGTTTCAGGTCAAGACTTCAAGTATCTCCAGGCTTTCTGCAAGGGAGCGCCCCTTCCCCCCATACACACACACACACACACACACACACACACACACACACACACACACACACACACACATATCTCATATATATATATATATATCCCTTTTCCAGTCCAGAATGGGCAGGATGATCAAGGGTTCAGCTGAGTCCCTGCCCCCAGTCTCTATCCTGGACTTTCTTTGACCAGAGAACCTACAGGAGGCTCAACCAGACTGCAGGATCTGGTTCCTGAGACCTGGGAACAAGGTGGGTAGATAATCAGGCATGGTGGCTCATGCTTGCAATCCCAGGACTTCCGAGGTAGAGGCAGGAGGATCAGGAGTTCAAGGCCAGCCTGAGCTACATAAAAGCCTATCTCAAACACACACAAATTGACATATATACACAAGGGTGGGGGTTGGATAAATGGATAATAGGACCTTTCCAAGACCTTCTTTCCTTCCTCTTCTCTCAAACTGAACATATAGCCAAACTAGTTTTTTTTACTAAGAGGATCCTGCAATGAGCCCCAAACTCTCACACTACCATCCAACCCCAGCTGGGCAAAGGGAGTGGCTTTCAGAGGGACAAGGGACAGCTGAGAGGAAGGCCCCAGTCGGCTGCCTCCCAGGCTCCAAGGGGCCTGGGAGGGAGGAAGGAGGTATTTTTAGGTCTGACCTGACCCCCCCATACGTACCCATCAACCACATTATTATGGTGGTTAAACTGCTCCAGGCTGGCCACAGCAATACAAGAGTTAATGCTATCCTTGGAGAAAGACAAGTCCCAGAGTAATCCCCTGGCATGGCCACCCCATTCTCCCCTGGACACTCTATGAGAATCTACTATGCCCAAGAATATCTGTACTTGGGGGTAACCCTGGGCCATAGGAAAAGCGTGACTGTGGGAGGGAGGCAAACCCCCTTCCCCAGGTAAAAAAGCTTTCCCCTCCAGGGCAGTGAGTTGGCATTCAGCCAACTTTCCAAACTTTGGAGGCTCCCCACCCCATAGGGGTAAGGGTAAGCCAACGTGGGTGTTGGAGGGATGGAACAGTCCGAGGTAGGAATGGAGCCCAGGTGACTAGCGGGGTGGGGCGGGGGGCTGGACCAGAACTGAATCCTTCTCCACCCTCGAAAACCAGTGTCTGAAAACTAGTGTCTGAAAACCAGTGTCTGAGGCTTCGAAGGCCTGTTGGCAACGCCTTCTTGACCATCGCCTCCTACATCTCCCAGGACTACCCCCGCCCCACCCACAGCCGCTAGCGCCCCCCAAACGTGCTTTACGTCGCCCCCCTTGCCTGACTCGCTCTCCAGCTGCCTTCAAACGCCCCTTCTTAAGGCCTGGATTCCCACCCCCCCGCATCAGGACCTCCCCACCCCGCTGTCAGCCCACTGGAACCGGTACCCGAGCAGCAGAGACCCGTGCGTGGAGGAGACAAGGAGGCAAGGCTGACAAGCATCCCATCTGCCCCCTCTCTGCTCCGCAGCACTACAGCCCAACTCTGGGGCCAATGACCCATCAATCATTAACCCGCGAGAATGGGGGTCGCTCAGGCACCCCTCTCTTATCCGTGCCGAGCACATAACCCTTTCCTTTCCAGGGCTTTTCGAACCCACCCCAAGGTCCGCAGAAGCGGTCTCTTTCCCTCGAGCCCCGCACCTCTCCTCACCTGTGGGCTGGGGTCGAAGACCTCCATGGGGATCTCCTGGGAGGGTGGGTAAGGGCCCCGGGACATGCCGCTCTTCTGGACCATCGAGAGGAGCCTCCCGATCCGCCGCCGGCCCGGCCCAGCCGGGCACCCTCAGCGCATGGGAGAGGCCGTCCAAGCCGAGAGCAGCGCGGCGCCGCGCAGCCCGCACCGGGTGCAGCAGCCCCGCCGGGCCTCGGGCTGCCTGCTCGCTGCCTCACCGCCCTCGCCGATCGCGCTCTCCTCTGCCGCCGCCTCCGCCCCTGAAAGCTCAGCATCTTGCCGCGCCCCTCCCTCGTTCCCTCCCCGCGCAGCGGCCCCGCCCCCTCGAGCCCCTCCGCCCGCGGCGCGCAGACAATGGCTGAGCGGCGGAGGGGGCTGGATCGCAGGCTTGCGGCTCGCCTGGGGTCAGGGCGGCCCACCGGGGACCTTGAGGCTGGGGGTGGCCGTGGGGGGCGTTTACCAGTGTGTGCCAATTGCAATGGGGGAGAAGCGCAGGGTCGCACGGCTGGCATTGCCTCCCTTTCGGTCCCAAACCGCTCTCCAGCGGGTCTCCTGTACCCACTCCCGCTTGGGCCACCGGAACTTCCCTGTTCCTGGGATCCTGGGACCTAGCTTTAACTCCTTTCTCCCCAGCATGGGGCCTAGGCAGCCATGAAACAGAGTAAACTTCCCTCTCCAACCTGGCTCTGGAGCTGCTGGCTGGGGGCAGAATCTAGATGGGGGTGAGTGTCCAAAGGGAGAGGCCAACAGAGATAGCAGGTGCTGTCCAGGGACCTGAGAGTCGCCCAGGGTCTTCTAGAAGGCCAGGAGTCTGGCCGGGTGAAGTCCCTGTGGTTTAGAAGAATGGAAAGACAGAGATGAGAGAGACGACTAGCCAAAATCAGATCCCATGACTTTTGACCTAGGATTACTCTCCTTTTATCTTTGATTTGGAACAAATGTCTGAGACCTGGACCTCACCCACCAAGACTAGTGGAGAGGAGGAGGATCCTGGCACCTTGGTGCCAATTTGGCTCAGGTTCTTTCCGGTTGTAACCCGAAAAAAGTCATTCTCTGTGCTTCAGTTTCCTATCCGGTAACATGGAGTTGCTGGTATTATGGTACCTTTACCAAAGGGAATTACTGGGAAAATAAGAATTAAGAGATGTCTGGAAGCTGGGTGTGTTGCACATCAGTAATCCCAGCATTCAGGAAGCTGAGGCAGGAGGATCAGGAGCTAGAGAATAGGCTCAGTTACATAGTGGGATCTCATCTCAATGCAAAAACCACCAAACAAACCTACCCAACAAAAATGAAACAAAAGATGTCTTAGGTTCTGATGGTGCTGAAAGGAGCAGTGCGGGGGCCATTCACACAGGAGGACCATTTCCAGTTTAATCCACCGCGTTCCACACAAAGATGAGAAATAAAATGAAGACTTGTCAAGGGCAAGTGCCCCTAAAATAAAGCCAGCTTTCTGTGGTCTGCTGGATGGGAAACTGTGGGATATGCAGACTCCTCCTCACTCTGGATTCTGATTCTGGATTCTGGACTGTGAAACTTGTACCCTTTTATGAACAACTCCAACGCAGGGCAGGGTTCCTATCTACATTGAGTACAACAGAGCTGGCAAAACAGGGAAGCGTAGGCTTGGCAATTAGGAAGAACTGCAGGTTTGTTTGTTTGTTTGAGATAGGGTCATCCTGTAGTCCCAGATGGCCTGGAATTTGCTATGTAGGCCAGGCTGGCCTCCATCTCACAGAGATCCACCTGTCTCTGCCTCCCAAGTACTGGAACTGCTGGAATTAAAGGCATGTGCCACCATGACCAGCCTTAGACCTACAGTCTTGATCCATTGCCTAAGTTGTAAAATAAAGATTGCATTTTTGTGCTGTAAATATGTTGCTTTTTTCCTTTCTTTTTTCAATATTTTATTTATTATTTTTATTTTATGTGTATGAGTGTATTGCCTGCATGTATGTGAGTGCACCCATGTCGTACAATGCTTTGGAGGTCAAAAGAGGGCTTTGGATTCCCCTGGAACTAGAGTTAAGGACTCCAGTGGGTGCTGGGAAATTGAACCCAAGTCCTCTGCAAGAGCAGTCAGTGCTCTTAACCGCTGAGCCATCTCTCCAGCCCCTCCTTTCTTTCTTTTTGACCTCTCACTGTGTTTAACTGCCTGGAAAACTCACAAGAAAGAGGTAGAGGCCAGGCATGGTGTACACAACTGTACCTGCAATCCCAGCACTTGGAAGAAAGTGGAGGCAGAAGATAGAACATGAGGCTAGTCGGGGCTGGAGAGATGAACTGGTTGTTCTTACAGAAGACCCAGGTTCGAATCCTAGTACCCACATGGCAGCTAACAATTGTCCAAAACTCATTCCAGGGGATCCAACAGCCTCTTCTGTCCTCCACGGGCAATGCACGACATGGGTGCACTTATCTACACAAAGGCAATACACACATACACATAAAATAAAAATAATAAATAAAATATTTAAAAAAAGAACATGAGGCCAGTCTAGGCAACATAACAAGATCCTGTCTCAAAAATAAACAAGGAAGCCAGACCTGGTGCTGCACACACTTTTAAGGCTGGACATTGGGTGTATATCTTTAATCCTAGTACTGGGGTGGCAGATGCAAGCAGAGCTCTGTGAAATTGATGCCAGCCTCTGCATAGAGTTCCAGACCAACTGAGGCTAAAAAAAACAAAAATAAGGCCAGACATGGTGGCACATGCCTTTAATCCCAGAAGCTCTGTGAGTTCAAGGCCAGCCTGGTCTCCATAATGAGTTCCAGGTCAGCTGGTGCTACATGACCCCCAAAATAAATAAATAAATAAATAAATAAAGAAAGAAAGAAAGAAAGAAAGAAATATAAATAGGGAGAAGAAAGAATACACAGAGAGAAACTAAGCAATAATTGAAGCCAGAACCCTAATCTGGGTCTTTTTTTTTTTTAAAGTCATTTTTATTTATGTGTATGTGTGCCGTGTGTGGGTACTTGAGGAGGCTAGAAGAGGGTGTCAGCTCCTCTAGGGCTGGAGTTACCGGCAGTTGGTTGTAAATTGCCCAACATGGATGCTGAGAATTGAACATAGGTCTTCTAACTCGGAGATTAAGAGGATCCAGTTTGCTTCCCTGCACCCATGGGGCAGCTTACAACCTTCTGTAATTCCAGTTCCAAGGTATCCAGATGGACAATCTTTAGCCAACACAGGCACCAAGTACAAGTACATGTAGTGGGCAGACATACATGCAAGCAAAATCGTACACAAAATTTTAAAAAGTTTTAGTTTTTGTTTTATTTTTTATTTAGGTCTTTTTTTTCTTATTTTTTTCTTTTGGTCTTTTTGAGACCTGTAGCCCTAGCTGGCCTGGATTCGCTATGGAGAACTCACAGAGATCCGCCTGCCTCTGCCTCCCGAGTGCTAGGGTTAAAGGCGTGACTACCACGCCCGGCTATTTAGGTCTTGTTGAGACAGGAATTTTAAAAGTTTTAGTTTTTTTTACTTGTTTTATTTATTTTATTTCCTTTTTTTTTTTTCAGGCAGGGTTTCCCTGTAGCCCTAGCTGGCTTGAAACTTGCTATGTAGGCCAGGCTGGCCTTGAACTCACTGAGCTCCACCTGCCTCTGCCTCTGTAATATTAGGATTAAAGGCATGCACCACAACACCTAGCCTTAAAAATAATTATTTAAGAAATTATTATGCCAGGCGTGGTGGTTCATGCCTTTACAAGTTCCAGCGCTCAGGAGGCAGAGGCAGGCAGATCTCAGTGACTTCAGGGCAGCCTGGTCTACACAATGAGTTCAGGCCAGCTGGGGCTACAGGGAGACTCTCAAAAAGACTGAAAAAGAAGATTATTACATGCATTTATTTTGTGTCTGTGTGTATGGGTTTATACCTGCCACAGCACACATATGGAAGTAAAAGGACAACTTGTGGGAGTCAGTTCTCTATCACTGTGAGTCTGGGATATTGAACTCAAGTCATAAGGCTGTCTGGCAAGTACCTTTACCTGCTGAGTGGCCTTGCCAGCCCTGTTTGTTGTTGTTGTTGCGATTAGGTCTCAGTCTGTAGCCCACACTGGCCTCAAATTTGGCCACCCTCCTACTTCAGCCTCCTGAATACTAGGATTACAGGAGTGAGTCACCATACTCCCCTCCAGATTTATGACTCTTGAACCCCAGAACATTATCCTTGGAGTGTCCAACGCCATTGGACTTTTTTCAAGTTGGCAATTACTCATTTACTCAGCTAATGTAGTGCTTCTCAGGTGTGTTTGCTACTTTCCAGGCTCTGTGTCTGCTGCAGTACAGGATGAATCAAACAAAATTGGTTCCATCTCTCAATAGCTTGCTTGTGCTAATCTTCCTTTGCAGAATGAAAAGAAAAATTAAATGCATATGACTTTTCGCAAGTAGATGACAGAAATATTAGGATTAGGTCCAATTTACAAGGATCAGGAAATTGAGGCACCCAGAGATTAAGGACTTGCAGGGGCTCTATTAAACGTCTTTTGGTGATCTAGTTTGCACATCAGCACTTATTCTCCTATGAGGATAAATGTAAGTTGCATTTGCTTGCTATCTATCGCCATGATTCTCTCACGTTTCATTCGGTAATTTTTTTTTTCTCTGCTAATAAAATAACCTTGCTCAGATGCGTGATTGCCTGAGAAGAACAGGACACCCCAGCAAAATCCCCTTCCATCCGTCTGCGCGGCCCAGCGTGACTTCCGGCCACCCAATACCCACGTGATCAAATGCACTCTTTACGCATGTACACTAGGAAGTCGGACTAAACCATTTTGCCCGAAGAAGGGGTGTATTTTCTGTGTTTTAAAGTTTAAAAAGGGCTCTGAGTCTTAGGATTCTATAATAACAAATTCTTAGAAAGGATCTAAGTGAGTTTGAGGTGGCGAAAGAGGAAAGAGCCATCCGGAAATACGGACCAACGTGGAGTGGGCTTTGGGTTCTCCCCTTCGCAGATAATGGGAGGAGCCGGGCCTGACCGAGCTCTTTCTGTTCGCTGCTGTGGCCGCGGCCATGAGGTGAGTGCGAGCGGCTCTTGGGTCCTCGTACACTGGGGCTGGCGAGGCTCGGCGGGAGTCGGGATCGCAGCCCCGGGTGGCGAAGAACGGGAGGCCGGCGCGGAGCGTTCGCGTTCGGAGCTCGGGGCCCGGAGCCACGCTAGGCCGCATCTTGCGGAGGGTGGGGTGCGGGAAGCCGAGACCCGGAGGCCGGCCTCCAGGCGACCCTCCGCCCGGCTCCGTTGTGGGCCACC